GTCATTTGGTATCAACAATGACTTATGTGTCATGGTTAAATACCAAACAAAAGTATATTTTTATTATTAAGAAAAATCACATATTAACACTAATTAAGAGGCTATTCTATGATTATTAATATGCTACTATTCTATTTAAATACTTACCAAAAATGTTGTGGAATTCATTCATTCAATATATATTGATAAGGTTTTACTATGTGTAAGTAGAGCTAATACAATTATTTGACATTAATATTATAATGTTTTTACTAATAGGTCTTAGTTACTCAAATATTAATTTATGAGGACCTTTTATCCCTGGTTATTCTCATTCATAATTTTATTAATTCATATCATTTTCCTACATGTATTTACTTATGTTTACTCAGTTATACCATGACTTTTTAAAAACAGTTTTCAGGGTGATTGTTTCACATATGATTATGTGAGCTGCTAAAATGTAATGTAGCAATCATCTGCCCTTGACATGAATCTGAGAGACCAGATGTCCTAGATTGATATATTCATTCATTCATCCTTACTGGCCAGTTGCAGGGACATTCATGCAAGACAGATATGGTGAATTTGGATTCTTCTTCTAGCAACATTCAAGTCCCCATGTCATAATTTCTGTATCTAAAACATATGGTTAGTAATAATACCTATTCCACCTCTAGTAGATATCTGTGACTTTATCTGTTCAGCATCCATTTCCTCTCTTTCTGGTAACAGAACATTAATAGTCTTACTTTGGGTCATTATTCCTCAACCATTCACAGTCCATATTGTTTGAATATGGTTTATCCCAGCTTCAGGATCCAGGGCAAGTGACTGGTTGATGATAGGAGTGGGATCCAAGCCCCCACAGAATTGGGTGGTGTAGCTAAATTGCTAATCTTCTCAGTGTTGCTAAACGAAGCCAGTTTATGGTTATCTTTGGAAGCCAAACTTCATAAAACAGAACTTTGAGCCTTCTCAATTTACCTGCACTCAGAGTTGAACACCCTTAACATGACCTAGTATTCATTTACTTTAGCTAGTTTGAATTTGGTTTCTGTCCCTTTCAATCCCAAGAGCACTGAATAATATACTTCACAGAGTTAAATGAGTAATTGTTGATGTTCATCACAGAATAAACAAGCTAGTAATCAAGCACTCAATATGTATTAGTCATGAATAATAATTGGAATTACAATTTATCAATTAATGAGTGTCTCATACAAGTTAGGTGAATGCAGTGAGCATAGAGAATAATAAAATAAGAATACAAGTCCCTTGTAGAATTAGCAAATGGAGATGTTTCTGAAGGTAATTTAAAGAAAAAACAAAGCAAAACAAAAAAGCAAGACTCTACAATTGGTTTAGATTGAAGTAGGGAAAGGACTAACTTTCCTTGAAGCTGATGACAGCTGGAGATTTTCACAACCTTCATATGCCCGAGTCCTCTAACTCGTGAAGGCCCCATGACATATAAAATAAAACATATTAAAAATGTATATTTCCCATGTGAAATTTAAGTTTGATAATTATAGACATAATATTATGTTTTATAGACATTTAATTAAACATTAATTTCAGCATTTAGTTTGCTTTTCTAATTTGGGGCTAATATGTACATTTTTTTTCAAGATTCCAGCATTTTTATAGGCCCTCTAAAGGCTTGTAAACCTAGGTTCTCTAATTCAGGCAGCTAGTGGATAAATAGTCCTGGTAGAGGAGCATCAGGAAAGGGCCTCAGCGTGGTGTGACCCACATCCTGGAAAACTCCATTGGTCATAGTGGATTACCTATCTTTGGCCATCCCTCAAAAGTCATCCCTAAGTAACCAACAAACCTGACGGAAATTTTCAAAAGTTACTCCTTAGAATCTGCAATGTCACTGCTCGTACATCAGTTTTGTTCCTTCACTTGTATTGATGAGGCACACCTCTCCTCCTCCTTCAGGTTTGGAGAAGTGGTTGGTAAAAAGATAAGGGATGTGGTGTTTTGTTACTACTGAGACTGAATACAATTAGTATCCCCATGGTGTCAGAAGTTAGGCAATTTCCTCATTTAACAATTTTACCTCCATTTGGAGCATCAGTAATTTCATTTTGTATTTTAAGGTACACTTTTTCTGTACTCTTCAAGATCGATTATTTTGAGGGGGTGCTGCAAGGTAAAAGGACCTTCAAAAAAATCTGGTAATTCAAGCCCTGAAAATTTCCTGTTGGTCATCTGATTGTTATCAAATCTCTGTTAGATGCAGAGATCCTTTGGGCTAAGATTTTATTTTGTTATAAAACTCACTAGATGAGACATGCTGAGAACTGACTGTAAAGTAGACAAATTTATGGAAGTTTTATTTATAAAGTTGATAGTTATCAGGAAAGGCCTGAGTCCTTCAGTATTTTCTTATAAACTGTATAATCTTATAGTCACTTAATTTTTGCTTATATTTCTTCATATATGAAAATATTGTAATAATAACCTTTCATAGGCATATTGTAAGGATTAAATATTATTATATGCAGAGAATTTGAAACACTATGTGACACATTAATATTGCTATACTATTATTACATGTTAATTTTCAGTTAAATAGTTTAAATTGGTTTTATGTCATCAGGCTTACTATGGCCAAGAATTTTACAGAAACTCAGACTTAATGTTAGTCTTAAACTGTTGAAGGAGAAACACTCAGGACTCAGTGAACATAGAATTCACATTTCTAATCCTATGTGATAAAACATCATTAAGACATAAGCCCATACTTTGCAATTTATAGTAATTTAGAGATAATTTTTATTTTCCAGTGTCTGTGAAAGCAAGGTTTGCCAGACATATAAATAAAGGGTATTTTTAATTAGCATAAGAGAAAAAAATATTTTATAACAGTTAAACTACTCTAGGATCCTTTAGCATATACAAATAAATAAAAGTGCATTAATGCATAAGATATATGTAAATATTGTTTAAAAATGATTCTTATTTGTATATTACACGAGGTTCCAGGAAGCCATATATTTGACACACTTTATTAGTAATTGGTAAGTTTATATTATTGTATGTACTGAAAGTAATAAATGTATATTTTCTTCCTACATAGTGTTTCTGATGTTCTCCCTAGTCTTTAGTATTACTGAAATTTCTAAATATTATTTTATAAGACCCCAATCAATATTTAAAGCTAAAAGATCCATTATTCATTTAAAAAAAGTAATAGTACTTTTTTAAATACTTTTTTTGAAAAGTAATCATTTAAAAAGTATTTAAATGATTTGGCAACATAGGTAACCCATGTTCCATGAAACCTTCCCCAAAATCATCACTGCTGATGATTCACCACCAGCAGCAGGTCAGTGAAACTGACCTGGCACCGTGGGCATATTCCATACTTGTTCTTCATCAGATAAAAGGCTATGATACAGAATTCCACATTACCCCCTCCCAACGGAGTTGTGTTAGTTTCCAGGGAAGGAATCAGGGAGGCAGAGGGACAGAGTGCATTACCTTCTGTATTTTATACCATATGCACATAATGTCTACTCCAAAATTAACATACATTTTAAGAATTTAATACAGCTGAACAGTCCTTTATCAGAATATTCTCTTTCCTTGGCTTTTATCACCACAGTATCTTCCTCTTACCTTTTAGGCCAGTCCTAATTTGAGTCTTTTGATGGCTGTAACTGTCTTTTACCAGAAGATTCTCTTCTAGATCCTCTAGTCTCCTCATTCTGCTCATCCTCCTGAGAAAAGTCTTATGTGCTCTTATGATTTAAGTTATTTACACCCTCAGCATCTTCAAATATATACTCATTCATTAAAACATATGTATTAGGTGTCTACTATAGGCACTAGGTACTGGAATACAGCAGTGAGTAAATCAGATAAAAATCTCTGTGATTTCTTTTTAACTTTTATTCCATGCAGTAAGATGAAAATAAAATGTGTAAAATATAATACGGTAGTAATATTTTCTAAAGAGACAATACAAAGCAGGAAAGGGCAACAAAGGTGTTAGGATGAAACATGGAAATTTTCTATTGGTCCCACCTCAACCCTCACTTCTGAGCTTCAGGTGCATATATCAAAACATCCAGTGTGCCTTGGATGTCTAGCAGGTACCTTAAACTTAAACTGTGACCCAAACTGAGTGTATTATCTCCAGCAACTTTTTCCAGCTCCACTACTGAACTACTCAAACCAGAAATGTGTGAGTCATCTTTGGATACCTCTCTCATTCCCTACATTCCATCTGTCACAAAGTGTAGTCAGTTCTATCACATAACTTGGGCCACTTCTCTACATCTTTACTGTCACTATCCTAATTCAGGTGAACATCAATTCTCCTCTGGATTCCTGCAAAAACAGATCTCACTACAGCTATTACCATCTTCCTCCAGTGTCACTAAAACTCATCCTGTCATTCCCCTACCTCAACAGATCAATGGTCCCAAATTGCTACTGCCCAGATCTCTAACTGCATCACTCTTGGGACCACTCTTACCCTTCTCCTTTAGTCTCAGGGTTCTTCCTTCATTCTTCATCTATGCTATCCTCTCTTGGCCCAAGATATTTGCACATACTATTTCTTCTTCCTGGAATATTCTTCCCCCAACTCTTCATTAGGCTAACCCATCTTTCAAATCTCAATTGAAGCATGAATTTATCCAGCAAGTTTTATTCAAATACTCAAACTGGTTTATTTGCAGCAATTATGGATTCCATAATATCCTGTCTTTCCCACTTTACACATCATGCTACACCAGTTATTACTTCTATATTGGCTCTACCCATGTGGGAGTGTGAACTCCAAGAGGATAAGGACCATGTCTGCCTTTACCACATGTCATCCCCAGTGCTTGTCAAATAATGTTTGACATAGAGTAGGTGCCCAGTACATATTTACTGAATAAATGAATGACTATTTTAGTAAAGATTAAGGGCAGATGATTGATGATTGCTTTTATCTGGCATTTATATGCTTCATGCACAGAGATGATTTTGAGTCATGATCTCTAAATAGTACTTACAATTTTGCCTTCTCATTGTGTATCTGGGATCACAGAGGATGCTCTCCAGCAACTGATACATCTTCAGATTCCAGTAGTGCCCTCCCTTGCACATTATTGTTCCAATTTTCACATTCCTAGGTAGCGATATCAGTCTTCCGGAGAGAAGTCCTAGAGAAGTCCTAGAAGTCTGCTGTACAATAAAGACCCATTTCAGGTATAAGTTGATCTCAGGTTTTATAGCCAGTGGAAATATCTCTTTGATTATGTTAGTAACATCTATTGGTAATAGATATCCCTGAGATGTTACCACATAGAGAAAATATTTTTTCTCCTTTTGATTGGTTTCAATACATTGCCTTTTTAACCTTAATTCCCTTGAAATGTCTGTTTCTCTCTTCTCAAGCCTGTCTACGGTAATTGCATTAAATTTATGTCCACTCAGACTATATAGATTAATGCTATTAAACCTTGTTTGTTTTCCTGTCCACTCATTATGCTTTATTATTAAAAATTGTTAATATTTGTTAATTTCATGCCAAATGCTCCACATATATTTATGTCATTGTAAAATCAAATGGAGAAGGTTCAATTATCATTCTCAGTTTTACACAGGAGTAAACCATGGCTTAGAGAGGCTAACTGACCTGTCCAAGTCACAAAGATACGGAGTATTCAAACTGGGATTTAAACCCAAAGTTCTGCCTCCAGTTCCTTTGAAACTCTCAGTTTGCACTGTGCTATTGTTTTACATGCTGAGACACAAGTTATTTTAACTCTTTGCTCACCTCTCCCTTAATTTTCTGTATAAGGTAAGCCTTCAATAAGTACTTGTTTAACTCTTCACTGGGCTGTTATTATTACTGCTGAATGACAGTATTTGTGGTACTGTTCTTTTTACTTATTTTTTCTTTCCCAACCCAAACTGAAGAGAGCGTAAGCGGGAAAGGCTGGCAGTGCAGAAAGTGCAACAAGGATAAATAAAAGTCGGAAGGAAAAGACAAGATTTCTAGGGTTTCACCAGCTAGTTACTTGGGGTTCAAACTGCTTTAGGAATCCGCTTGACGTAATGCTAGTAATCTAAACTTTGTTCTTCCTTCAGGACGTTCGCTTGTGTAAAAGATTCCCATTGTAGAGAAATGTAAAAAGAAATGGAGGAAAATTGGCAATTTTGCTCTATCATGGGTCTGTATTTTGGTTCCTGTAACTCGCAACCTGAGTAATTAATGATGGAAGAATTACAGATTTCACCGTTCTCGTTTATGGCGCTGATTTTCACCTGTCCCTAATTCAGAAACTCCCTTACTCTGTGAAGGCACACAGCTCTTCCTTCCCGCTCGCGTTTCCTCCCAGGGGCGCTTTCGGATTCCCGCCTCAAAGCCCTCCCGCCTCCACCCTCCCCTCTGAGTCATTCCTCCAAGCGTCCCCAGGATGACCCTCTGACCTAGGCGGGGGAGGAGGGAGGTTGTCCGGAGGTAAATGGGTCAGGAGCAAGGCTCGGACCTGGACCGCGGGGAGGCCCGGGTGCTGCGGGGACCGAGAGCCGGCCGAGCGCCGCCAGCCCCCGCCTCGGCTGCGGGCGGCGAGCGCCCCTCCTCCTCTCCGACTTGGCCCGCCGGCGCGCGCCTCCCACTCCCGCAGCGGCCGAGGGCTCCTCGGGCCGGGGGAACTGCGCCGCGGCCGAGAGCCGGCAGCCGGCAAGGTCTCGGACGTGGGAACCAAGGCTGTCTAGTCTAGTGGTTAGGGACGCTGGCTTTGGAGTCCAATTCTGTTTCCACCTCTCGCCTCCTAGGTGACCTTGGGCGAGTTGCTTCGCTTCAGTGTGCCAGTTTCTAAATCGATATGGGGAAACTGAGGTGAGGGCTAAATCCTAGGATTGTTGTATTAACAAAGCACTCCAGGCAAGTAGTAAGCGCTCAGTTAATAGCAACGGTCAGCCCTCAAGAGTGAGAAGCGAAAACTGCTCTGGGTCCAAGGATGTAGGTTTGCGCTCTCGCTTTTCCAGTTCTGCACCGAGGAGTAGGGGGAGGGGCCGCCGGGAGCACCTGCCCTCCCTCCCCTCTCCCCCTCCTCCCCAGTTCCAAGATAACTCGGGAGAAGCGCGGAGGCATTCGTCCCAGCCTTGGGTTCGGGCTCCTTAACGCGGCCCAGATCCCCGAGCCTAGTGGCAGCCCGCGGCGCCCGCGGCACGTCTCTCTCCCGCGAGCTGAGGAAACATTTCTGCCCTGAACTGAGTATCTCCCTCCCTCTCCGACCACAGAGCTTGCTCGCTGCCTCCTCTGGGACTCGGCAGCCGTGGGGAGTCCGGCAAAGCCTCGGGCGGGAGGGAAGAGACAACCTCAGGGTGTGAGAGTGTCCCCCCGCCCTGGGAAGGGAAGCGAGGACGAGGGGTGGCGCGGAGACCGGGGAAGAACACCGGGCCCCCTGGCGCTCCTGGGCCCCATCCTCATTTTGCTGCCTTCTAGGGACTGCTCTGGCTTTTCCCGTCCCGAGGCACACACATCCCCGGAATAGCCAGGTGTCCCAGGCCGCCACACGCCCGGCTCTCCGCCTAGGGCAGAGAGGCCGGAGGCTCCAGCTCAGCACGCGGCGGGAGTGGGCGGCGAGCGCCAGCAGGCGAGGTAAGGAGGGGCGGGGGGCGGGGGGGGAGAGTGCCTTCACGTGCGCGCGCCTGTGCGCGTGCTCCGAGGGGGCGTCGGGTGGGGGTCCGCCCCAGGGCCACCCGCCCTTCCTGCACCGTGTCCCCGCCCCAGCCCCCTCGCACCCTGCACCCAGGCTCCGGTGCTAGCCACGCGCGTTCCCCACGCCCCCGTGTTCCAGCACCCCCTGATCCAAACCCCACCCTCCCCACTAATAATTTCCCAATGCAGAATCAGACCGAAACCTGGAGAGAGAACGTTGCCTTTCTGCTCCCCTCGCCCCCCCCCCCCTTCTATAAATAATCCGGACTAGCGGGTCAGGCACGTCACACGGCAAGAAACCGGGACCCCGACGTTTTCTTCTCTGGGAATAGGGGGTAAAGGGTGAGGAGAAGGAGAAAGAAATCGCTCGTGAGTAGTGAAGAAAAGCTTGCTCCTTGACTCCTAGAAGAGACCAGGCACCATTTTATTCTTTTCTTTTTCTTTCTTTTTTATTTTTCCATTTCTTATTCTCTACCCCCCC